GAATGTCCAGTGTGAAACAGCTCACAGTTTCCCAGTTTCCTCAGTTTCATTTGAAATGCTGTCATATGGCGGTTATACAGTATATGTTACACCTGAATATTAGCTTGTTGAGTTTTTTCAGCAGTTGTTGCTTTTGCATGGCCTGCCTGCCCATCCACTAACACTTACTGCTCATTAGCTGGCTGCTCATTCACTAGTGGTTAGAGCATATAGTGGTTGTGTCCATATTGCCAAACCTTGTGCCCTGTTTGGATTCCACACCCCTCCTGTCATGCATAAATGTGTGTGCTTCAGTGTGTTGTGTGTTGGTGCCACTGCTGATATGTTACCCATCACTAATTACGGGCACCTGCCTGCTCCCCCTTCTCTTCTGAGGCTTACAATATCTTGTGGAAAAACAAACGTGTGCAGGTAAGGAAGATGACTTCAACTATTTAGGCTGGAGAATCTTTCTCTATAACCTTTCCCTGCCCTTTATAAGCTCTCCCTAACTTCCCACTTCTTTAGTCCGTACTTGGCTAAAAGGAGGAACGTGACGTGCTCTATTTAAGAAATGATCATCTGTCAATAAAAAACAGAACAGCTGATTTAGATGCTTCAGGACAGTCTTCATCATGGTACACATAGTTTTCTATGATGTATCTGTGCTTATAAATGCTCACATTACATTCGTACTATTATTGCATTGTTGCATTGCAATTTAATTATTTGGGTTTACATGCTGCTGCATATGTTTCAGCTGCTTTTGACCATGCCATCATGCCACCCATATGCTTTATCAGCTGTTTGAGGATGTAGCATGTCGAAGTATCTTTTTTTTTGAAACAAAGCAACTTTATAAGAGTGTCATGAAGAGTAAATGGTTTGAATAAATAGATAAATACAAACACTCACTGAAAAAGCTCCTTTTGAATAAAAGCACCCCATGTCTTTTTCTTACATAGTATTTGCGTGCATGCGCCTATTGTACTGTTTCTTTTCTCTCCATTGTCTCATGAAATTATTTGCTTGTTAATTTACAGCTGAAGCTGTGTTCTTGTTTGACTGTGATCAAATAGGATGCCCTGTTTTCAGCCTCACACGTCTTTAAGTATCTTCCCATACTTTACTCAAGGTGTATGTCAGCTGTTAAATTGGTTGCATTTCTGTCACCATAATTACTTAAAGTGTTGCCAAAACATGTTGCACAGGGTTAACATTTCAAGAATGAATCAGAATGCACACTCAGACTGTTGTGTGTAGCTTTAGCTATGCTGTGGACAGTAAAACATTAGGATCATTGTGTTTTCCAAACCACACCACATATTTAGCATTGCTTCACTAAAGCACTGGGAGACTCACGATGAAGAGTTAAAAAGGATCAGTGCTGCAGGGGCAGAGAAAGATATACGGTTTTATACTACTTTTTTCACATGCATTAGCACGACTCAACACCTGAAAACATACTTTTGGAAACTTTGAAAGCACTCAAAAATTGTGGTACTGCATAGAATTGATCAGATTTTAAATTTTATGTAAAGTGTGAACACACCCCTCAAGCTTGTGGTCTGTTAATGACAGTGCTCACAGCTGTTTATGTAGTTTTCTGAGAAAAATGTGGAAGAATTTTTAGTAAAATAAAGCATCCTATCTGATCGTGGCCTCAATCAGTTATGATGGACCAACAGTTCAGTGTGCTTGGAGTTGGTGTTTCATTCAGCGACCCACTTTGTTTCCTCCAGTTGAAGATGCGTGCCGGTGGAATGAGTGAATCATCAAAATGGAAGAAGCAGAAACGTTCACCAAGACCACCCCGCCACATGGTCCGAAGTCCCTCCGGTCAGATGGACTCAAGCCAGCCCAGCACACTCAGCAACAACAACATTTCAGGTAAAAGACACACTCCTGTCATAATATGCTCACAGTCTTTAAAAACCTTTGCTGGCTCTCAGGACGTTTTAGAAGATTAAGTCCTGTCAAATTCTGCAAGGGTAAAAAGCTGACCAGAAGGATTGTTTATTGTCTAGAAAACAAATGTATAGGCAATCTGTGGTGGACCTACTGCTGCAGATTTTCATACATGTGAGTGAATGGTAGTACACACATCATACTGTAACACTGTATTACTGTGTCTTGTTTTCTTTAGGTGGTGTTCCATTCATTGAACAAGGCATGTCCAACTCCAGCCTTCCAGCCTCAGACAACGCTGGCTCTTCAATTTCCAGTCCTACAACCACAGACAGTGGCCTGGACACCTGTTCCAAAGCCACCTCCAGGGAAGACCTTTCTGACCTGGAACAGTGTAGCTCATCTGCAACCACCCCTAGCACTGCTACTACACTACCGGGGAATGACTCGGGCGCTCTGGATGGACAGGTATGGATGTTTGAACTGTCAAGAGCTTGACCAGCAGTCTCCTGTTTACTCCTAATCTGTTCTTGCACCATGGACACTGTATTAAGTTGGTGCATAGCTTTTTTTAACTGCAATTCTGTTCACTTTGTGAAATTCTGTCTGTAGGAGTCATTGTGTATGTATTCAACTGTAGTGACATCCTCCATTTTTTGTGTGGAGCTGATATATGCCTTTAACTTCTTGTGTTCTGTTTCCACTTGCATCCAGTCTGAAAGCAGGCAGGTTGAACCAGTTCAGTCAGCCTCAGTGGAGTCCATCCCCGAGGTTCTAGAGGACAAAGACTCCATTACAGATCAGTCAGACAGCGCCTCTGTCCATGACATGGACTACGTAAACCCTCGAGGAGTCCGTTTCACACAGTCTACACAAAGAGATGGTAGGGATACTGAAGGGTTTTGAAGCTGTGATTTCTGTTGTGTTTAACCTCAGTTTGTTTTTTTTGTGTGGTTTTGTTTGCAAGAAGGAAAAACACTTTTTTCTTTATACATAGTTTACAAATTACCAGATGCTTGTGATAAACATTGAGCTCAAGAAGAGCTTAGTTCATAGTTGATGTTGAGTGTTCAATATTGTATGTCATGATACTTTCTTTACACATTGAGAACATTTTCCTTACATGTCAGATAAAACTGTTCCCTAACTTCTGTCCTCCGCTTGTTTGTAGGAGCGTCCCTTATCCCTTATGGCCTGCCATGTTTAAGGGAACTTTTTCGCTTTCTGATCTCACTGACCCACCCCAATGACCGCCACAACACTGATGCCATGATGCACATGGGCCTGCAGCTGCTGACTGTAGCACTTGAGTCGGCACACATTGCTAACTACCAGTCTTTACTCGTGCTGGTAAAAGATGAGCTCTGCAGACATCTCTTCCAGGTAAAACAGAGTGTAGAAATAACGTTTGTAGTTATTCCATATATGTACCTGTGTGGTCTATTGTTGAATCGATACTTTTGGAATATTTTCTTTGCATTAGTGAGAGTTGCTATGAGAAACAGCTAGTTAGTGAAAAGCTTTTAAAACATTACTGTCTAGTTCAGAAACTGCTAGCACTTTGGAAGAAAGAACTTGCAGAACCTGCCAGCTACAGGTAGCCACTTTGCATTGGTTGGCTTGAAGCTGAGACTTGTGGGACCTGGTTGAATCCTTGTATTTTTAAGCTTGTCACCTGATTAAAGTAACACTGAGATAACACCTTAGTGTTTCTGCCATGATGTGAGGGAGTATGTTAACTACTTACAAGTTAAAGCATTTGTAAAAAAGTGAAATGGCACTAAAAACAAAATGATTCTGTTTGGAGAAAGCTGGATTTATTTTTTAGATTAGTATTTTAATGTCTCTTTTCTAATGATGTGTCTGATCTATTTTGTAGCTGCTGAGCATGGACCGTATGAACCTCTATGCTTCCTCCTTGCGAGTTTGCTTCTTGCTTTTTGAAAGCATGAGAATGCATCTAAAGTTTCAACTGGAGGTAACTATGTTATCCAGTTTGCTGCTTTTTACATTTTTTTTTATTAATCAAAGCTCTGTCCGTTGACTGTCATCTAAAGGAACTCATCTAATCTAAATGTATAGTAAATGAAGGATCCACTAATCATCGACCTCTGTTTTGACATGCCAGATGTACCTGAAGAAACTGATGGACATCATCACATCAGAGAACATGAAGATGCCCTATGAAATGAAGGAAATGGCTCTTGAGGCACTTGTCCAGCTATGGAGAATCCCCAGCTTTGTCACTGAGCTGTACATCAACTATGACTGTGATTTCTACTGCTCCAATCTGTTTGAAGACCTCACCAAACTGCTGTCCAAGGTAACATCCCCTTATGGGATCACTTAAAATATACAGTTGATTTTTAAATCAAATCAAATCAAGTTTATTGTCACCTTGCCTGTACATACACAGTAGTACAGGCAAGATGAAAGAGCGTTTCTTAAGGATCCAATAACTTAAAGCAATTAAATAAACATGTGTTTGCATATCCGGATCAGCAGTTCAGCGTTCTGACAGCTTGTGGAATGAAGCTGTTGATCAGTCTGGAGGTTCTTTAATGCACCGGAAGTGTTTGCCTGATGGCAGCAGTTCAAACAGTTTATGGAGAGGGTGTGAGGAGTCCCTGCCAATGTTTAATAAAAAATAAGATCTTTTTATTAAAAACTTCATGAACATCAATATACATAAAACTTCAGAAATCCTTGTGTTGTTTTTAGTGGTTGTGTCATTCATTTAGTGTCAAGTGTCAGAACAAAGACATTATGATTTCCTCCTTTGCTTTATTGTAAGCCAAATGGATCAGACTTAACACGTGATCAGAGGAAACAGAGTTCAAATAATTAGTTTCCCTCTACTGCTAATTTACAATACCAAAAATAGGTGGGTAAAAACTTTTGCTTTAAACTTCACTGTTTTTAAAACATAGTATACTTTTACTACTGATTTCAAATTAAAGCATAATAATGTTCTTAGAAAGAAAAGCCTTCAGAGATATAAAAAATTAGCAAACACTGCTGCTACTGCCAGCTAAATAGGAAACTTATTAACTCATAATAACAAAAACTTAATTGTCTTTAGTAATTAGTTGCTTTTTTCACATTTTCTGTAATTCCTTGACTGGCATGTCCTTGAGAAATGCAGTAAATAGTATTTAATACTTCATAAACTCTGTTTTTGAGTTCTCTTTTTTTTTTTTTCTTTTCTTCTTTTTTGGTCTAATTTTTGAGACAACACACATGTCTAACAAATCATTAAGCTGACTATATAAACTGACAAAATGTTTTTTATTAAAACAGTTTTTTCTGATTTCTTTCCTTTTGCTGTAGAATGCATTCCCAGTATCAGGGCAGCTGTACACCACACACCTCCTGTCACTGGAGGCTTTGCTTACTGTGATTGACAGCACTGAAGCCCACTGCCAGGCCAAGGTGCTCAACAACAGTACTCAGCATGATCAGTCAGAGACACTGCTGGCAGAGGGAGAAGGTTCAGCCAAAAACGGAACAGACTCTGCAACTGGTATACACACCCCTGCACACATCAGGGATATGAAATGTGAAATAATGCATGTCAGATATTATTAGCTTTGGTGCAAAAATGTCAGTTTTTAACAGAACATATTTTATTTTGTCTTCAGACCCTAATAGACTGGGCAGTACCAATGGCCTTCCTCAAGCTGAGAATCCACCAGTGTGTCCACCCACTAGTGGACATCTGATGGCAGAGAAAATGAGACTGGGTAGACAGGATCAAGGAGACAATGATGCTTGTGAGACTGGCTCTTAAACACATTTTTTTTTTTCTTTTAAGTTGTCATACGCATTGGATGGAAACTGTATGCTGAAGCTGATATACATTTTATTCTTTATTTACAGCTGAGAAGAGAGTTCCGAAAAAACCTCAACGTTTCTTAACTTGTTTACCCGATTCGCAGGAGTTGATAGAAATTAGAACAAAGAAAAAGGTGAGTAATTGAGCTTGATTTAGTGTAACTTTACATCCACAGCTAATTCTAAAATCTACTACTGCTCCTTTGAACTGTTTTTCTTGCCATGTGTCCAGCTGCTGATCACTGGCACAGAGCAGTTTAACCAGAAGCCCAAGAAGGGAATCCAGTTCCTGCAGGAGAAAGGCCTCCTCAGTAACCCCATGGACAACAACCAGGTGGCTCAGTGGCTTCGAGAAAACCCCCGACTGGACAAAAAAATGATCGGCGAGTACATCAGCGATCGCAAGCACATGGAACTCCTGGATAGCTTTGTGAAGTAGGGTGAAATTCCAAGGCACTGCGTACATCTGTTAATCATTTAAATATTATTTTACTCTGTGTCTTAGGGTTATAGAGGTTTTGTTACCATGAAGCACTGCTGTGTTCAATGTTAATAATAAATAATGTACTGTTTGTTAAAACTTCAGTTGCTCTAATCATGTAAATCTTTCTTGCAGCACATTCACCTTCCAGGGGCTTCGTATTGATGAGGCCCTGCGGCTTTACCTGGAGGCTTTTAGACTACCTGGAGAGGCTCCTGTCATTCAGAGACTCTTGGAAACTTTCACAGACAACTGGCATGTAAGACACATTTCCTCAGCTTCTAAAATAGCTTAACAGTTCTTTGTTACTATGTGGTTAACACGGTTAGCCACTTAACACTGGAGATGTGGCCTTGGCTACACAAAATTCCAACCAGACAGACAACGTATGCTTCCAACTAGAACAACAATCACCATTCTTTTGGCTTACTATGTCTTAGCAGAGGATTGCCAGTTTGCCCGAAGACTTTATCAGCCTGTTTGGGATTTGAATTCGAAAATGTAAGATATTGGAACTCAAATCAAAGCAAAAAGTTTGTAAAATAATCAAAATTGACTTGTGAGTTGACTTTGATACGAGTGACTATGACTTCACTTTAGTTTTTTGAAGTGGAATGACTTGGTAACCAACCCTAAACCAACAATGTGCAGTAGATTAACTCATTGTTTTTCTGCTGACTGATTTATACAAATAAGCCAGAACACTGACCATTCAGGCACGATGGAGATAATGTTGATTATCTCATAACATTGGCACCTGCCAAGCTCTGGGCTATAATCCGTTGACAATTAATCAGTCAGTTCTTTTTGGAGAAAAGGGCACATAAGAAGGCTTTGACAATGGCAGAATCATTATGGCCAGACAACCAGCTTGAGGCCTTTCCAGAAAAGCATGCTCAGAGTCAGCTGTACCTGTGTTTCAGTGAGGGACAAACCATGACCAACATCAGTGTGTTGGGGATGTGAAGCAACAAGTCTGATCTGTGGCAACTTCCAGGATTCAAAGAATTTGCTGTCTAATGTCTAGGTCAGGGATCTCCAACTCCGGTCCTCGTGAGCTCCTGCAGGTTTTAGACATTTCCGTACTGCAACACACCTGACTCAGATCAATGGATCATTAACAGACTTGTGTAGAACTTGACAACAAGCTGTTGGAGATCCATTAGTTTGAGTCAGGTGTGTTGCAGTACAGAAACATCTAAAACCTGCAGGACAGTAGCTCACAAGGACCGGAGTTGGAGATCCCTGGTCTAGGTGCCATAAACCACAGAGGTCTTGTAGTATCAGCTACTTGGCAAATTAGAGCAGTTTTTTGCAGCTAAATGGCTATGTAAGGAAGATGATCAGAATATTTTGGCTTATCTGTGTTTTTAAATGAGTCTGTCAGCAGCCCCAACTTCCAAGTTTGTTTGACTTTTCAGGATTCCAAAAAATTATTTGCATGTACTTGTGACTTGCTGTGCTTGAATTGGGAGCCATCCTGGAAGTTGGCTTGAAACGTACTAGTCAAAGTTTACACTTGCTTGTAGCTTCCAAAACGTACATGACTTCTTTGCTCTACCTCTACAAATTTGTATTTGCAAAACAGTAATATGATCTCACCTGCTATTTCTCCCATATCTCGAAACGCAACTGATTTTTATTTTCTCTTAATTCATTTCCTGGTGCCTTCATTACACACAGTCACACATATTCTCCGATTTCCATTCAGCAAACCCAGCCCGGTAGCAAAGTGTCTCTTCCATCATCAGACAATTCCAGTTGTTCAGAAGATGATAGATCAAACACAGTCACTGACATGATTAACCCTCCAGATTATAGTCGTTGGATAGCATAAGTGTTGAAGCAGACTCACACATATACACAATGATGGGCAAAGGACAAACTCCACAGGGGGGAACATTTGACTTCTCAAAATAGCAGGAGGAGCCATGTGACTTGGAAACTATTCCTAGTAATGTCCTTTTCTTAGACCTACCACATACACACAAATAGTGGCTTTGAAAGAGTAGATGATTAATTTTAGGCAGTGACACAGTAAATGAGTTTTCCACTCTATGGGGTCAGTGTGATATTAGAAGGATGGGCAAGGTGAGTTTCAGAGCAGGAACAAGGTTAGCTGATCTTATGTAACATACAGTTAAACCAGCTTGTGATTTGGTGTTTTGTTTAAAAACAAGGGACTCTTAGCTTCAGATGATACACTGTTCATTTTGTCATATTTTGTGTGATGATGTACGTGTGTTTGTAGAAAGTGAACGGCTCTCCTTTCATGAGCAACGATGCAGGCTTTGCCTTGGCCTACGCTGTCATTATGCTGAACACCGACCAGCATAACCACAACGTCCGCAAGCAGAACATCCCCATGACTGTAGAGGTAAGGGATCTCTCTCTCTCTCTGTCTGTCGTATAGTCACACATTTGTACATACAGACACATGCAACATGTTTTAAACCTGCACAGTCGTTGGCCAAATGTACTCCATTTAAGATAGTCTCCCCCCTTGCCGCTGGTCTATCAGGAGGCACACTGACCCTGCCAAGTGAAGCACAACCTTTAATCTTGTGTATTCTGTATTTGTGTGCTGAAAAACTAATGGGAAAGTATACAAATTGCAAGTTGTGGACAGCTATAACGTTTCATAATAAAATTGTATAGATTAAAGATAGTTTAGATTATGAAAACAATAAGACTACATTAAAACTTTAACAACAGTTAAGTGCTTTGTCTAATATCCCCATGTGTTTGCTTTTAGGAGGAGCCATCAGTGTTTCAAATGTTGTTTGCCAGTCAGTACTGCGACATCATGATTGAAATTCCATTCAAATCAGTTGCATTGTGTTGTGGCCCATCTATCACGAGTCTTCCTCCCTGTTACTAAAAAGCAGAACTGTCTCATTGTCTTAATTCTTAGTTTCATTGTTCCATATAAAAGTTGGACATTTCTATGTGCCATAGTAATGAGAACTCTGAACTTTGAGAAGCAGTTGAATCAATGTGCTCCAGTGTGAGGAATAGGCTCGCATGGAGTCATCTTCCCCACTGTTTGATGTAGTTGAATAGGGAAAAGAACTGCATTGTGTTCATATATATTTTTTCTCCCACTGGAACATGCCAGCATTTGTGTCTGATGGTGTGACATTCCTCTGAGTGTGCTAGCATTTGCACTGGTGCAGCTTGGCGGCTCAGAAAGCCCACTGCCAACAGCTGTAGCCAGTGGTGGTCTGTCTGAGAAGTGAACTCATCCTAAACAGGCGGCTGGGGGCAGGGGAGGAGGTGGGGTTTCCGTCTGTCTCTTGCTTTATCGGCTGTCTGTGTTTTTCTGTCTTTGATTGACAGCTGCTGAGGACTAAACAGAGTCTCTGGGGCAGCTTGTGAGCAGTGGGTGGGCCACTCTTACTGACAAACAATAGCAACCACTTGCTTTCTCTTTTTGTCTGTCTCACTCTCTTATATGTACACACGGCAGATTTGATCTTTCTTGAGTCAAGTCATACCGCACCGTACAGCTGCTGTTGTATGTTTAAATTATCCCCACACATCCACAAAAGGTCAGTTGTGGTTTGGTGAAGAAGGCTCGTTGACCTCCGAGCTCAGACAACAGGCAGAGGCTTCCACACAATAGCTTGGAGAGGGCCAATAAAAGTGGCGCCTAGCACTTTACTTACTTAGCAGTTTGCAATGTGTAGTATTCACCACAGCATGTGTTGGCAGCAGGGTTATTTTTGAAATGGGAAAACTATGCCCAGCATCAGTGTGTGTAAATCAGATACTCTTCTTTGTCAGTGCCATGACATGTTTTGAGTGAGGTACAGGTTCGGTCAGTGGTATGATGTTCATTTTGTCCATTAAGCAAAACATATTGTTGTCAGCTGCTGCTCCTAGAGCTGCTCTGATGGTGAGTGACTGTGTTAGAGGCAGCGTGCCAGCGATAGGAGCATAAAAAATAGGAGGCCTGACCCTCCTGCTCTCTCTGGCCCTTTGTGTCGGTGTTTATTTCTTTGTGTCCCTGCAGAGAAGCTCCCGTTTCCCCTCATCATACCGCAAGTAGGAGAAACCTTGTCGAGTCTAGGCATTAAAAGCGAGCCTTGAGGCTGTCAGTCATCGCCGGTTGGTTGTGTTTATTTACAGGAGGTTCTTGGTTCTAATCCCTGTTTTTCTAACGATCTAACTGAAGCATATTAAGTGACACATAACAAGTGTATTTCCACTCAAGGCCCTTTCAGTTGCTGGCTTGATGCTCAGTCAACAAAGCACTTAAAGCCAGAGGCTTGTGTGCCTGAGCTAAGCCTCGGTGTTGAGAAGCATTTTTGATGGCAGAGAGCAGAAAAAAAATGGGTAATTTCTCATGTGATACTTTTAAAATGGTTTCCGTCAGGAATCAAAGGCTGAACTGTGTTGTTTTTTCCACCCCCCCAAACAGCAATTCAAGAAAAATCTAAAAGGAGTGAATGGAAACAAAGACTTTGACCAGGATATGTTGGAGGACATCTACAATGCTATCAAGTAAGCTGCCAGAACAGCACGGAACTCGCGTGGCTCTCATTAGTCAGTGTTTCTTTTATCCTGAGAAACATAGCCTCTAAGATAAAAACAGTCCTGATGATCCCCTCCAGTGACCATCTGGTTTTAACCTTATTATTGTGTCCATGTGGTCTTTTTTTATGCTGGAAGACATTTCATAACATAAGTTGACATAAGGATAAATAAGAGGTCAGTGGCTTGGCTGAGCCATACACCTTTGAAACTGTAGTGTACCAGTGATCTTTCATTTGTAACAACCTAAGAAACTAAGGAATCCTACGAATGGAATTATTAATATTGTTCAGACTCATTTTCTACTTTGAATGTGTGTGACAGAATCATTCCAACAGCACAACTCGACTTTATGTAGTATAAAGTACATTTACCATGCTTGAGCAGAGTATACGTAAGCTGCAGGCAAGCAGCAGAAACAGAGGGATAGATGGAGACCTTGGCAGGGAACAATTTACATATTCACAGTTCCACACATAGTTACGGATCTGTGGATCGTTAAGCAGATCATAAATGTAGCCAATATGTAGAGTTACATTTTAGGCATTTTAAGTTCACCAGATTTATTTTCTTGGATAAATACTACATATATGAATATGTAATTTTGATGAACAGAGATGTGTTTTGTTTGGATTTTATCAATATCAAGAGAGGGTCTAGCTATGCATTAATCAACTAATCATTTTAACTCTACTGTTAAGTACTAAAAGCTGGCATCAGATGTCTGGTCAGATTCATAATCTTATTTATTTTCTTTGATTAGATTGTTCCTGATTTAAACTTGTGGCAATTTTAAACCACTAAAGTTAGGCGAGTCCTTCCATTGCTGACCATTTACCATTTAACATGTTTTTTTTCTCTGTAGGAATGAGGAGATCGTAATGCCAGATGAGCAGATAGGATTAGTGAAAGAGAACTATGTATGGAGTGTATTGCTGCACCGTGGCGCCACACCTGAAGGTCTCTTCCTCTACCTGCCACCCGGCAGCTACGACCACGACTTGTTCACTATGACTTGGGGTCCCACCATCGCTGCCCTCTCCTATGTCTTTGACAAAAGCCTTGACGACAACATCATCCAGAAGGCAATCACGGGCTTCAGGTACATAACTTCAGAGTAGTCAGCAAATCAGATGATGGAACAGGGAGGCATTTTAAATGAGGATTTAAAAGTATAGCCACACAGTGTGAAACAACCTTCACTTCCTATTTTGTGATTGGTCTTGACAGAACTTTGAAATCAAAACTTTGTTGTTTTTTTACTAAATCATATATTCCTAAGCATTTGTTAAAACATCCATAATGTTATATTCACAAATGGCTGTTTTGAATAGTTGGACTTTCTTATTATGATGAGTTTAGTTATAATTTAAACCTGAGAACTAAGATTTAGGTTGAGTGAAATGGATTGAAGTGTATTTACCAGACCTAGTGTTCTGAAATTCTCTGGAATGCAATAATTTATGATTTTGTATATTTGTGAGATTTTATCATGTATCATCATCTGTGTTTCTGTCTTTGTAGGAAATGTGCAATGATAGCAGCTCACTATGGCTTCAGTGATGTTTTCGACAATTTGATCATCTCCCTCTGCAAGTTTACCACCCTGAGCAGTGAGGTGAGGCCCTGTCAGAAAAAAACAACCTCCACAGCATCATGTTGTGCTAATTGGATCCCATCCTTCACAACTAAAAAACACATTAGGCAATATTGTTACTACCCCAAGCTTAGAATAGTTCATTGATTTGCTTAGATTTTTTTGAACACCTATTTCCAAAAAATCTGATAATGGTAACAATATACCATAATAAGACAAACAAAAAAAGAAACAAAAAACTACACAAAGAAAGATCCACATCTACGTGAATACAGACCTGGATGAGTTGTTCACTTATAGGCGATCTACAAGTGAACGTGAGTAAACGAGAATCCTTAGTGACAGAATTCAGATGCATGTGTTAGTAGCAATTTATTTCCTCTGGAGCAAACATTAATGACTTGTTAATGAGCAGGTAAGCATGAATAAAAGGTGTAGTGAAGGGAGCTACCTTTGGATAGTTGAGGACCAAATCTCCTGCGATGTTTTGGAACACTTGCGAAGATTGTTCCTATAATGGTGGTAGCCCTGCTGCGATATAGGAGCTGATGTTATGTAGTGTGAAGCAGCATAACCAAGGAACATATGCAACATGCTCTTTGAAAAGTAGTTGCTCGTGAATATCAATAATCAGATTTTGAGCAGATTTTATTATCCACTTTACTAGGTGGTAAAGCCATCAAGAAAGACCAGATGGCATTACCGAGAGTTTGGTCAGAGAGATTGAAGTGAATCTGGGGTGATATCATCCATTTTAAGATATGGGCAGGTCTAGATATTCTGGTTGTCTACTTGTAAGAAAACTGCATTTTGGGTGTTTATTGCGAAGAGAAGTGGACCAAGCACAGGTCCATCCCATTGTATTTTTAGGCTTTGTGTTGTAAGAGAAAATGGATTGTTGCACAGAAAAGGAACATTTCTTGTTACTTAATGGCACCCTTTTGTTTCAGTAAAATAGAAATGTATTATTGAATTTCAGAATACAGTGTTTGAATGTTCAATTTGTTTAGTTGTCACTAATGAATTCATCAGTATTTTATAACACATAGAAATCACTGTTTCATGCCTTTTTATTTAATGTTTTTTTCCTAATATATTAGACCACCTTTGTTTTCTTCAATTTCTTGTTCATTTTAATGCCTGGTACAACTAAAAGTACATTTGTTTGAACAAATACAATAATAACATCAAAAATAGCTTCTAAGAATTTCATTTAAGAGCTGATATCAAGACATTTTCCATGGTTTTCTTGATAATAACCAAAATCACTTAAGTTCTTACATCAGTAGCTATGTAGCATTGTACTGCCAAAAACAGTGCTTTTAGTCATTCCATGTTTTCTTTTCTGTCTGTTTTAGTCACATGATACGCACAGGAGTTAGTACTTGATTGCATAGTCATCATTTCTGATGACTGCAGTCATGTGTCTTGGCATGCTCTCCACCAGCTTCTGACATTGTTCTGCTGTCACAGCAGGGCTTGTGGTTCTCCATTTTGTATTTGATGATTTTCCACAGGTTTTCAGTTGGATTTAGATCTGGTGATTGAGCAGGCCAAGGCATGGTTCTAATGTTCTGGTTCTCCATCCAGGCTTTAACTGACCTTGCCGTGTGGCAAAGGGCATTGTCTTGTTGGAAAATCCAGTCATTGGAGGCAGGAAAGAGTTTTCCAGCTGATGGAAGAAGACTGTTTTCTAGAGTAGCCCTGTACATGATCTGGTTCATTTGCCCTTCACACAGTTTCATTTGCCCTGTTCCACCCATACTGAAACAAGCCCAGATGGTCACTGATCCACCCCCATGTTTTACTGTAGGGGCAAGACAGTCTGGTTTGTAGGCTTCTCCAGGCTTCCCACTAACCAGTAAGTTGGCTGGAGTGGGCATCAACTGAAAATTGGGTTCATCACAGAAGACAACCTTAGCCCAATCATCAACAGTGCAATCCTTGTAGTCTCCAGCAAAGAGCAACCAGACTTTCCTCTGCCTTTGGTTGATGAAGGGCTTCTTCTGTGCCCTGTGTGACTTCAGACCAGCTTCAAGAAGTCAGTTTCGACTGTCCTTGCCAAATAAGTCACATTTCTTCACAGTGCCCACTCATTTTTAAGGTCCCTGGAGGTCTGATGACGATTCCTGACACAGGAACGGATGAGTGCGCGGTCATGTCGTGGGGTAGAAAGACGTTTCCTGCCGCGACTAGCTAGTAATTTGTTAGGACCATGTTGGGCTTGTTTTTTCTTCGTGTAATGAACGGCTGTCTTGGAGATCTTCAGTTTTTTCGCTACCTGTCTCTCACTCATGCCAATTTCTGGCAGTGCCAAGATGGCTGCCTTTGTGGTTTCACATAATTCTTTTGTTTTAGGCATCATGTGAGAGCTGACAACTTCTGAGTTGTGCTACAGCTTGAATGTAAGCAGGAAACCGCTCTAGGCCTTTTCATGTGCAGTGCTGCTTGTGATATGAAATGGCCTCTTATATATCCTACAGGGAATACAATTAAGCTTAAGCATGTCTAATAGGACATAAAGTATTATGTAATCATCTGCATTTTTTGACGTGTTCATTATACTCTTTGGGTAATATACCTTTAGTGGTACCAGGCATTAAAATGAACTAGAAATTGAAGAAAACAAGGGTGGTCTAATAATGTTTTGGATGACTGTATGATAACTCCGTTGGTATGTCTGAATGTTGGTGTGTCCTCTCCCCCTGCAGTCTGTGGAAAACCTTCCTACAGTTTTTGGCAGCAACAGTAAGGCACAGACAGCCGCCAAGACAGTGTTTGACCTCGCCCATCGGCATGGCAACATCCTGAGGGAGGGCTGGAAGAACATTATGGACTCCATGCTGCAGCTGTTCAGAGCCGAGCTCCTGCCTAAACCCATGGTTGAGGTCAGGACTCCATTTCTAAACTCTAAACACTCACACACTCACTAGCCCTTTCCCTTCTGTCACTGATCGGACAATGTCAGCATTGTGAAAACCCTGAAGATATAGTCTGTGAATAGCTATGGCTCACCTGGTTGAGCTGGCGTCCCACGTACAGGGGCTGTAGTCCCCGACGCAGCAGTCATGGGTTCGAATCCCGCTCATGGCCCTGCAGGTCCTTCCCCCATTCTTCTCCCCACATTTTCCTGTCTCTCTCTCTCTCTGTTCTATCTAATAAAGCTAAAAAAAAATAGCTTAAAACAAAAAAGTCTGTAGATTGTAATTTCTGTTTGTAAGAATTCTGCTGCCACCTACTGTTCATTGCTCTACACTGTATGTTGCCTCAGGTGGAGGACTTTGTGGAGCCAAATGGGAAAATTTCTCTTCAACGAGAGGAAACCCCTTCAAATCGGTATGCACAAATGTCATTCACTGTCTCAATATATACAGTATCTATATGAAACACTAACAGTTCTTGCAGGATGATATTTTTCCCGGTATTGCTAAACTCTGCTCCACACATCACTTCAGCTATGTTCCTTTCACAGTTTTTCATTTTTTCAGTATTCCTGTATTTTTAGATGACGTGACCAGCTTTTTGAATTAAAACAAATACATGTCTTTCAACAGCCCTGAACAAGAGGGTCAAGAGTAAATGTTAAATTTATCTTCCTTTGATCCTTGTCAGTGGCGAGTCAGCAGTTTTGAGTTTTGTCAACTGGCTGACGCTGAGTGGAGCCGAGCAGTCAGGACTTAGAGGGCCATCCACAGAAAACCAAGAAGCCAAGCAGGCTGCTATTCTCTGCATAAAGGTACTGAACACACACACACACACAGCGTAGTGCCTTAACACCGTCTGAAATTGTGATTTGTGATTATCATTATAATTTATGATGAAATTATTATTTTTTGAATAAATACATTTCAAATTAAACAGTATTTTATGACATGTATCTGTGACAGCAGGTTTCTTGCTGTGTGATCTCTTCCATATTGTTATGTTATGTTTTTTTTTTTTTTTTTAAACACAGGTAGTGAAGGCTTTTATTGTTCGTTGTAATGACTCCATTGTTTCCATAATGCCTTGTCCTATGCATTTTTTTAGTTTTTCAACTTAGACCAGGTGTGAAAACTGAACTTGCTTGTTTAATGCATTTTGTTTGTGTCAATATAATGGACTTCTCTGTTTTTCTCGTTCTAGAAATGTGACCCAGAAAAGCTGATCACAGAGAGTAAATTCCTACAACTGGAGTCTCTACAGGAGCTAATGAAGGTTAGGATTTTTACCAGCATAGTGTGTTTTTAACCCATAACTGTCTACTGTGTGATTGATTATTTGAACTGTCTTAGGAGAATTTTTTGCTTAAAGGGATTGTTGACTAGTTTCGAAAAATGCTTCCATTAAATGCCGTTTACATCATGGTTCAACAAAAACAACCCAGATTAAGTAGATTCTCCTCCTCAGGCTCTGATATCAGTCACCCCAGATGAAGAGACTTATGATGAAGAGGATGCTGCCTTCTGCTTGGAGATGTTGCTCCGTATTGTTCTGGAGAACCGGTAGGAGGGAGAATCTTCAATAATGCAATAATACCAAACAGTTATTTGTGCTGTTAATTGTCATTCTTAGCACAAAAAATGTCTCTTTCTCTGTGTGTGCAGAGACCGTGTGGCCTGTGTGTGGCAGACAGTGCGTGACCACCTCTGCCACCTTTGTGTTCATGCTACTGAGAGCTGCTTCTTGGTGGAGAGAGCTGTGGTGGGACTCCTTCGACTCGCTATCCGCCTGCTACGACGAGAAGACATTAGTTCTCAGGTACACACAGGGACCAACATCTCAACACATCTGATGGGATGTTACAGGCTAAAATGATCATCTCAGGTCAGCAAACTGTCCTTGGAGTTAGATATAAAAGGTAAAAAAGTCAGATTTCAACAAGCATAGGAAAAAATCTGGGTTCATTTTTTAAAAAGATTGCATTCAACATTGCAAAAGTAACTTTGTTGAAAAATTCACATCAAATTGCATCTGAAAAGAGTGTTTTCAGTGACAATTTAGACTACAGCTGTTCTGTCTAGATGGCATGCTGAAAGGTCAGCCTAAATCCAAATTGCTTAATGGTGTTTGTCCACATCCATGTGGTTTTTTTTTTGTATTTTTCTTGAGGAGAACGTTCACTTTCTGTTTAAGAGTTATTGTCCAAATACAATCTTTTTTTTTTTTTAAGGTCACATTGCCTCTAAAGATGGGGGCTGTAATCTTTGTTTTATTCATGCCTGTTGCAGTGGATTTCATTTACATCCGTACAACAAACATTTCTGACAAAATGCTGCTGTATGACCAGTCAGTATGGCTTTTTCACATACAGACTATACACTGATACATTTTCACTGACAGAGTATATGTAATGCTTGTGACTGATTGTGGGAATTGCAATAAACACAAATAAGAGAATGGGAATGCAAAAGTATTTTCTGTACAAGGTTGTTTTACTGTGGCAGGTGGTACTGAGCTCAGCTGTGGTTGAAACCATGTTATTCAGCACTTTATAAAATACAAAGAAACCAGACAGTGAGAATATTTTAGGTCAAACAACCTTTTACATTTTCTGTCACCAATCCTTTAGAGCTCCCCAAATCAGTACAGTTATACTACCCATGGAAAAGTAGATCAAAGCCATTTCAAATGTAACATTTCAAATGTAACATCCTTCCTAATATGTCGTGACAGCACAGCTGTTGGCCCATCTGGTGTAGCCAATTCACTGTTTAACTTACTTTTTAAAAATGTATTGTGAAATTAAAATTGGGGCATGTAGTATATACTTAGCAAGTCCAATAAAATTACAGCTGGATCGCCTTACTCTGATCTTCTCTCTGCCTGTACACACACAGGTTCTTCTCTCCCTGCGTCTCCTGCTGATGATGAAACCTCACGTATTGGGCCGGGTCAGCAGGGAAGTGGCCTATGGCCTTCATGAGCTGCTTAAGACCAATGCAGCCAACATCCACTGTACAGATGACTGGTACACACTCTTCTCCCTGCTGGAGTGTATTGGAGCTGGAGTGAAACCTCCTGCTTCCTTCCAACTTTCCTCCACTACTAATGACAACGACACAGGTTCAGTATTTCTCTCAGCATCACAACATTTCTTTACACTTCAAACACAACCTCCATGACACGGGGTTTGACACCACTGATGATAAAGCTACACAATTACTCTTGTACTCTTGAAATTAACACATTCCTTCTAAAAACTCAAATTTAGAGCTTTAGCAACAACAACAATGTACAGTTTGTAGTTGACTACGTTCAAAGCAAAGAATGAAAAACAAGAATGGGCTTTATCCCCAACACTGAAAAGAAGATAATGAAATGTATCCATTAGGGCCCGACTGATATAGATTTCGATATTTGGCAGAAAAAATGAACTACAAAAGCAACTACATTCAAGTTCCAAACCAGTGAGTAGTGGTAATTTGGGATTATTGATATAGAACATAAACATGGTTCTTTTGAAATGTCAGTTCATGGTTTCCATATGACGGCTCCACTGCCATGGTTACACATTAATTTGCTGCAGAACGTCTCATTGCCCCTTATGTCTAACATAGAAAAACACGTGGAAACATTCACGGGAGGTTTCTGACAGGTTGGCTGTGACCTTGCACACAGGGTGATCATAGCACAGGATTTTCTGGAGAATTTGCCTCATAAAAGATACCTCAGTGCAGATCAAAACGTCAAATATATTAAATGATCTTTGAATAATTTTTAATGAATGTAGAAGAAGAATATCAAGTAAAATGTAGGAACACATTTTGGATAATAACCTGTTGTTTTAGTTATGCTATAGGTGATAAAGAAATGGAGCATTTGTCATACATTTTACATTTGCAATAGGCTGTTTCATAAGCCTGCAGATGGGATAGAAGAGACAGGTGTGTCGGGGTCAGAGCATATCTACTTACATCCCATCTTGAAATCAAGACTCCTAAAGGCTACCTGCCTGAAAGCTCTGCCACATCCACTTTGCCAGGTCGCTGTTCCTGCTCATCATTTCTGTCTCTAGCCCTCCGTCTCCTCTACCAGCTCGCCTTACCAGAACTTTCTACTCTGGATCGGCTTGGCTCAAGTTCCTGAACTCTATAGGTTCTACTCGGTTCAGCTATAGTTCTGTTTTGTTTTTTCTTTAATTTTCTTTTTGGCTTCTGCCTTTATTTCTCAGAGCAGTGGAGAGAGACAGGAAAGGGGGGAGAAGAGTGGGGAAAGACCTGCAGCAAATGGCTGTAGTCGGGAGTCGATCCCACGACCGCTGCATCAGGGACTGTAGCCCCTGTTTGTGGGTCGCCGTCTTATCCGGTTGAGCTACCGAGGCGCTGTGGTTCAGCTATAGTTTTACCCTCCTGTGCACAGCCAGCCACCTGCATGATTCCAGCATTCAGTCATTAATTCTGCTCCCAGCTCAATATAACATCCCTGCAAGCCTGCAATTATTATCTTTTATCGGCCCTCTCGCCACTCCATGTACTTATCTTGCCTATCTATCAAATCTAACTAACTCTAGCTCATGATATGGTAGCATGCTTCTCAAAAGATGTCCAAACAATAGCCATTGCTAGGCAACCAGGCCTGGAGGGCGTATTGAGCGCAGCATAATGCGGTGGTTTTCTAAGAAGGGTAAAAAATGACTGCTCGGCGGTTTGAGATGTAAATTATGGCCTTTTTTTCTTTTTATCCCAAATGCCACATGATTCACTAGATGGTTCATTTACTAGGATCAAACTGCCCATCTTTTCAAATGGTAAACAAACCCGCTCTACCACCAAGTTTTGATAAACAAATATTTTTCAGTTTTCGTTCTTTTTCTCCAAATTAGATGTTTGCTGAAATGTTGGATTATTACAAAATATATTAACATGAAACCATTTGTAAGATTTTTTTTGGGGGGGGCGGATCACTGTTTGGTGGAGCTGTTCACAACTCGGAGACATCTGAAATGTGACCCTTTCTGCTTTTTGTGAGACATTTCTGATGAAACAAAACAGTGTCTATTATAGTTTCCAGTAAACAGCCTCTTGAATCAACACAGATTTTTTAAATTGTTTTATGAGTTTTTCTCAAATTTGTCATTCATTTTTTTATTCTTCGATGTATAGTAGTGAGGCCCAGTTATAAAAACAACAACAACAACAACAACAAACAGTTAAGTGTGTAAAAATGACATAAATGGATTTTTTATTTTTTTTTAAATATGTTTGTTGGCTTTGTGTCTTCAGGTGCCCAGTCAGATAGTGAGCTGTCGTCTCATCATACAAGTGAAGTGACATTAGACCGTGGCTACACATCTGACTCAGAGGTCTACACTGATCACAGCAAAACTAGGATCCCTCGCTCCACAACTGATGTGGATGTAGCAAGCAGTGGATGGCTCGTGGTAAGTAGACACACACACACACACACACACACACACACAAAAACAAAAAGTGCTGTATATTGAAAACCCCTTTCAGACATGCACTCCATTCCATGAACCTGACAGCAATTTAATGTGTCAGCTTCATGTCTGAATGCACACCTTGCATTTCCATAAAAGTCAGTTACTAGGTTGGACCTAGCAACATTTCCGGATCACTCTCAACATGACAGAAGTCTGAACTCACCGGCCACATTAGCAGTTAGACATACACAAGCAGCGGTGCTTTGAGATGTGTGAAGTGATTCATTAAAGGATTTTTCCCCATTTCAGCACAAGTATTCCTCTGAAAATATCACAGAGTCGCTTACTACACAGTTTGTGTCCCAAAATCACACTTTTTGCACACTATTTGCTCTACAATTTAATATCTATTCGGCAAAAAAAAGAAATATCCATAATATTATAACCTTACTGGGATAAAAACAGACACAAACCAACCGAGTACTCTAACTTTGATTTGTTTAGAACCTTTAAAAATACAGTTAAAGTCAATAAATGATCGGATTGATCTGAGAGTGAAATACATTAAAGAGAACTGTACAATGCAAATGTCTTTTTTCAGCATATAATGTAAAAGATTGTAGTTCTAAGCAAAGGATCGTGTTGTGATGCATGTTCTTACTCTTGTGATTTGTGTTATTTTCAAGGTTGGAAAAGATGACCTGGAGATGAATAAGACTCCTCTAGTAAGCTCTAAAGCTCAGCTGACTCACCCACTGGTCAACCAGTACAGTCTGACGCTGGGCCAGGACCTGGGCCAACATGACACCAAGTCTCTCATCAAGTGTGTGGAAACGCTCTCTTTCATTGTCCGCGACGCCGCCCACGTCACCCCTGACAACTTTGAACTGTGTGTTAGAGCCATACGAGTGTTTGTGGAGGCCAGCCTCAATGGAGGTGAGACATTGATGTGCATGTGACATTTCATAGGATGTTTTGTTTATAGTTCATTTACTAAACACTCAAGAAACCACGATGAAGTGAAAAGTTACTGGCAAAAAAATCTTGGTCTGGGATCTTTCTGTGTGGGGTTTGCATGTTCTCCCCGTGCGGCGTGGGTTCTCTCTGGGTTTTCTGGCGTCCTGCCACAAGGTCCAAAAACATGTTGAGGTTAATTGGTGATTCTAAATTGTCTGTAGGTGTGAATGGGAGTGTGCTTGGTTGTGTAGCCCTGTGATAGAGTGGTGACCTGTCCAGGGTGTCCCCAGCCTTCACGCTGAGTCAGCTGGGATAGACTCCAGCCCTCCCAGGACCCAACAGAGAATAAAGTGGTGTATAGATAATGGATGGATTATTCAGTCTGTTTCAGTCGTTCTAAAGATTTAGTTGAAATTTCTTTTTATTTTCAATATTCCAGTATATATATAGGTTTTAAAGCATTTCAAAGTTTAAAACTCTGCAGAATGTAATTCAGCTGCCAGTGAAACAAAATGACCGAAGCAAATGCCTGCAGCAAGCCCTGTATCTGCAAATCTTCCCAAACTGGTGCACCTCCCCTTTTTTAAATACACCCACGAGATTAAAAGGAACTCTGCATCTGGTTTTAGATAAATAAAATGTCTTTTATTGTCATTTTCTTCCTCAGGTTACCGGAACCATGACAAGAAGAAGAGCCACAAGTATGACTCCTCCAAGTCCCGAATAAGGAAGAAGGCAGGGGGCCGGGAAAAGGACGGCGGAGGCAGCACAAGAAGAGGCGGCAGTCGAGCATCCAGCCAGCGTCCATCACGTTCCCACAGTGATGATGAGGAGGACGAGGGTGTCCCAGCCAGCTACCACACGGTGTCATTACAGGTTAGTCAGGACGTAAGTACACCTTCCCTCTTTACCCTTCTACCTTATGTTGATTTGAGCCCAGCTTTCCCAAATGCATCTTATTTTACCCACAAATGTTTCTTTTCAGTTTTATCAGTGTGTGAGAGCAATTGACTGCAGCACTGAAATTCCTTCAAGCCAGGCTAAGTGCATTGTGGCATCAAGATGTTTTTGGGGAACCACAGCTTTGGGCCTCAAGGAAACTTTTTCAACTTAATATTGGGACTGTAATGAAATGGCTCTTATGTGGAGTGAAGTAGCCTTTTATCATGCTGCTTTAATCATGCCAGTTTGCAAGCCTAACATTACGCCCTCCTGATATCATCCCATTCGTCCTGTGTTTTTGCTATGGTGGTGGCTTAAATGTGAACGCAAAGTTAAAGTGTAATACTTTCTTTCCCATGCCACTGTTCTTCACACTTAATGTAAACTAACTATGTAAAAGTAAAAACTTCTTTGACTTCTGGGCAACTAACCTCAGTCATTTAGATCTCACCATGTTCTTTGCATGTTTTGGTAAATATGCAAAGAACATGGTGCGACCAACCTTTTACAAAGACTAGGAGCAGGGGCAGCACATTTTTGTACATATTTAATGAACAAAATACAACTTTGGGAGGTGCACTTTTAAATTTGGGACAAAGCCAGCTGGCTGATACCCCCTGCTCCCAACAACATCCTGATGTGTGAATTTCCCAAAATGGTCGTCAGTGTTCCAGTTTTGACGCTACTTGCAAACTAAGCTGCTCCTTAATTTTAGTCCTGCTGGCAAATCAGCATGTTAGTTTCAACTTTTTTCGGGATGGCACCTGGAATAAAGATAATTACATTAACGTCATCCCTTAATTAACGACAATGCTGGGAATCCTTTCCTATCCTTCCAAGACAAAAACCCTGTACACCTTTTTATCCAGTATTTACAGTATTATGTGGGTGAGAGAGATGTTGGTTAATAAGTCTTGTTTTAAATTTGATTAACTGCTCTGGTTGTTCCGTACATTTGGCAGTTTTATACCAATAAAGCTACAGGGTTACCTGAATGCATCAGTTTAAAGACACAGATTCACAAAGAACTTTAGAACTAGACCTTGTCATCACCCCAGATATACACTTTGTACATATTAAAGTGTATGTTAATGTTAACACTGGTGTCTGTGGTGGTGCAGCTGTTAGACCTGATGCACACCCTGCACACTCGGGCTGCCAGCATCTACAGCTCCTGGGCAGAGGAGCAGCGCCATCTGGAGGCCTCGGGAAGGAAGATCGAGGCTGACTCCCAAACTCTGTGGACCAGCTGCTGGTGCCCCCTGCTGCAAGGTAGGCTAACATCACAGCATACAGTAGATAAACAATAGGGTGCAGTCCCATACAGTGCTACATGAATGGATGGCCATTGTCAGGACTGTAATATCTCAGGTATTTCTTGAGGCAGTTTCTTTAGATTTGGCGCAAAGGTCAGTGTGATTTTACAAAACATATTTTTGGGCATGACTCAAGATTTTATACACTAATTATGACAAAGTGTCGTACAAATACTTAAAAAAAAAAAAAAAATTGTTCAAACAAATCTTGGGCACCACCAAACTGTGGTGACTCCAGGTTTGAAGATGTTTGTGAAACATCTGCTTTTTAGAACTGGTAGCTTTCTTTCTTTCTTTCTTTCTTTCTTTCTTTCTTTCTTTCTTTCTTTCTCTCTCTATTTCCAGTGCTTTTAAGTGAAGGAAGCATGATTCTTCCTGGGAACAAGCAACTGGAAGCACATGTCAATATATTGATGACTTTCATTTTGACCAAAAATGCCTTACACTCTGTTCTTTTTATTAAATTCTCTCAAAGTCTTTACTACATATATGAATCTGGACAGACGTGGATGTTAACTGCAATTTGATCGGTTGGTTGAGGCATGCAACCTCGAGGTGGTAATTCTCAGTTCACGTGAATTTACAGTACTTTATAAAACTGATGACTGCGACTATAAAACCAGGCTATTTTATATCTATAATAATATAGATATATAGATATAATATATCTCTATTTTTCTCTAAGTTGCCAGCTCTACATATCCTGCTATTTTATTAAGAGGCTTTATCAGATCTTTGAATGGTGGAGTGGTTGTCCTCTAAGGTACTAGGCTGGTGGTTCGATCCACCGCCTCTCCACAGTCGAGGTGTCCTTGGGCAAGACACTGAACCCGAAGTTGCTCCCAGTGGCAGGCAGACACCTTGCATGGCAACCATTGGTGTATGAATGTGTGTACAAGTGGGATTTTGAATATAAAGGACAACATTATAGAAGTTCAAAGGCCATAACAATATTTGTGTGATTAAAAAAATTAGGTATGACACACACTTTGAAAGTTTTCCTTGAATGTTCTTTAAGAATTGCGATCAGATGTGTACTGAGCTTGAGTATCCATTAAACAGTTTTTAGATAAGTGCATCACAGCTCATGTCTGCTTCATTGTGTTTTTTTGTCCTCTACAGGCATTGCTTGGCTGTGCTGTGACGCCAGACGACAGGTTCGCATGCAGGCGCTAACCTACCTCCAAAGGGCACTGCTTGTCCACGATCTACAGACACTTGACGCAACTGAGTGGGAGTCCTGCTTCAACAAGGTATTAAAGCAGGGGGATAAGCTACATGTCTGCACTTAGTATAAAATCCTCTGTCTGCTAACATATACAGAACAGGTCCTAATAATATTGTACAGTTACGGAACTTTTTTTTTTTAATGCTGTTTCATTGAAGTTTCAGGACTTGGATTACATCTGTTTTATTTTAAAGTCCGTAATTTTTCACATATTCCACCAACAAGCTGATGTAGTTTGCATAAATGAGTGCTTACATGTGTGTTTGCAGGTGCTTTTCCCTCTGCTGACCAAACTGCTTGACAACATCAGCCCAGCAGATGTGGGTGGAATGGAGGAGACCAGAATGAGAGCCTGCACGCTGCTGTCCAAGGTTCAAAGCAACACACACTATAGGACTCACCGCCAGCTGTCATTTATATTGTAGTTGATGTATGGTATTAAACTGTGATTTAAACATTTTCAATCATGCTTTTCTGAATACTGTCTTCCCTGTAGAAACAATCATGATCGCTTTAAGTGATGATTACAGTCCCAGTAATAAGAGAACAAACTGCATAGAAATTGTTTCATTTTTCACAACATGGATCTTACTTTTGGCCTACGGGTTCCTGGTTACTTCTATAGTCATGAATTAAAGAGAGTACACCAATTTGGTTATGATTGTATATTGCACTGCAGAATTACAACAACTGTGGGTCAATGAGCCAGAGAGTAACTCTTTAAAATCAAATAAACATTTACAGCAGGCAGTTTGGGTAATAGCTTTTTTATTGCCCCCCAATATTAACATACATCATTTGTTGAAACTGGGCACGTTATAGGTCTGTTCTTGTACTAGAATGCTCCATTGAAACTGTACCTAACACTGTATAAAGTTGAGTCCCTCCATTCCTATATCTAGCAATCGAGGTGGAACAGAGCTTCTGGTAGCAACTGTGGCTGATGTGGGATTTTTTTTTTTTCCCCTCCAGGTTTTCCTCCAGCACCTCTCTCCTCTGTTGTCCCTCCCAACCTTTGCTGCCCTCTGGCTCACCATTCTGGATTTCATGGACAAGTACATGCATGCCGGATCTAGTGACTTACTGGTGAGAACAGTGATAGTACTAATTTGCAATATTGTAATGTGATTAAAGCTGAATTGATACAGTTTTTGACATTAAAAGGAAAGTAGGATGCCTTTAAAATAATGTCATGAACACTATAAAAACCAAAATCTGAATTACATATTTTCTGGAAATCAGGTTTTACAGACGTGAGAGTCAACACATATTCACAATGATTAGACAACAGCTCGTTGACAACATCAGTCCATTTGTAGAGAGTCTTTCAGAGTCAGCCTAAACAGTGTTTTTCTAGTCCAGTTTAACCTGCAGAGGTTTCGAAAGGTTTGTGGTGCTTGTTTTGCTGCCACAGAGCAAATACATTCAGAACTTTGAAGTGTCTTTGCTGCAAAACTGAACCAAAGAAAATCTATCTGCCAAGAATGAGAAGCTCAAAAGGATAGGCTGAAAAATGCTCGGACAAAATGAATGAAATGAAATGAATGAGTGCTTCATGAGCCTGACATGAGAGAGTGGAAATGTGTGACTGAGATAAACAAATAAGCATACTACTGTTTGATATATATGAGAGGGAACTTTGCTAACAAGACAAGTGTGAAAGTGTTTCCTATCCTCAAAAGTCCTTTCTCAATAACTCTGTCTTCTTATCAGTTGTCCATAGAAAGTATTTATTAGTTAGCTTCATACAGAATGCAGTAAAGAAAGAGAAAACCCAGCTTAAATTAACATTTGGTGTGAAGATTGTTTTTATGAAACAACTCTGATGTTGTTTAATGGATGAACATAAGACACTTTTCCACAGCACCATATACACGACTGATGCATGATACCCTTAATTACATGTGGATATCATTTATTTCTGCCTAAAGCAAATAATCACCTATCCATAGCCTTACTTTTGTCTGCTGCTTTGTGTAACTTGGACAAGTATGTACAGTATGTGTGAATGTTGCCATAGCTGTTGGTGACAATGCCCTAATCCTTCCACGTCATAAATGGTTTAGCATTTTGAGTAATTTGTGGACGATTGCCAGGATCAGTTTACCACTGTTTATATAAGCCATAGAAACAGACCGTGAACCCATTATTTAATCTCTAACATCTGTGTTTATTCACTCTTTGGAAAGTATATTTATTTATGCCTCGTAATCCTGTCTGATCGAGCACTGGTGAATGAAGACAAGTTGACAATATTTCAGACTGGAACAGTTGAAGCATAGAAACAATGTAGTGGCTCAAAGGTTCATCAGTGTGTAGATCAGAAGGGTTAGAGTTAGTTTTTAATGCATAAAAAAGTATGTAATCCTTTAAGTTATCTAAAAATGATCAAAACCAGCCGACAATGAACAAAAAGGAGTTTGCAGAATCTCGTGCAAAAACTCTGAACTGTCTGTATTGTGTGTGTAGTTGGAGGCAATCCCAGAGTCTCTAAAGAACATGCTGCTGGTGATGGACACAGCAGGGATCTTCCACAGTGCTGACTCCAAGACAGGATACTCAGACCTGTGGGAAATCACCTGGGAACGAATCGTCTGCTTCCTGCCGAACCTGAGGGAGGAGCTATTCAAACAGACGGTCATACAAGGTACACAGCCCTGGACGTTTTACAAAACATGAAGTTGGATGAAGAAGTTCAAAGCTTCACTTAATGCCGTTACAACATGTGTATATTAGTTTGTTATAGTATAAGAAGCTTGATACATTTCTTGTGTATTATCTTTGTTTCAAGATCCAGGACCCAATGTACCTGCAGAGCCTGTGCAGCCAGGAATCCCAGCAGGCCGGCCTCCATCCCCTCAGGTGTCCATACCACCTGCCCAGCCCCCCTCCCCTGTCCCAGTCCCAGCAGAGGCTCAGACCTCCAGCAGGCCAGCATCACCCCATGAGCTTCAACCAGCCAGTGCCAACGGTAAAAACTCGAAAGCTTTCCTGTCTTCCAGTGAATCTTTGCACAAACACGGATTTGTGTCGGACAATATAATTCAGCTGAAACCAAATCCAAAGACAGGCGACCCAGTAACATCAGCATAGGACAAGTGTCCACTGCACTCAATTTGAGTCATTCATTAATGATTTATTGATTGATAATGCTGCCAGGGATTGATTGAGGGAATTATTAAAAATTTGCATTTTTATCGCCCTGCCAAAAAGTGTGCTCTGCCTGTAAGTCACCAGATGTAAACAAAGGATCGGACTTAGATTCATGCTAATACCAGTCTGTTAAAAAAGGCCTTGATCGCCCCGATCCAATTCTTTAAGATCGGATCAGGGCATCTCCTATTAATCAGTCATCAAAGCAGTTATTAAGTCTGTCAATCTAATGGGTGCAGCTCTAAATCATACACTGCTTATTTATAAGGTATAGAAACTACTGTTAAGAGTACATCCACGATCCATCAAAGCCATGGGTTATAAAGTATAATGCTCTAAAGCTCTACTGCTAAAAGAATTCAAACAAAACTTTGTTATATTTTCAGTGAATGTTGTCCTAACATGGGCTGAATGATTGACCAATACATTAGTTTAATCAATTGTTTTATTAAAATAAAATTGTATTTAGAAAAAAAAAATTAAAATAAAACAACTACATTAAAGAAAACAATTGATCTTTCTTGAAGGACAATATTTTACTCCAAGTAGAACGCGATGCTTTAGGTTAGTAGCCATATTCTCACCCTCTTTGTCAAAGAAACCGACACAAGCAAGTATCAGTTCTCTCTCAGAGGCCACACATGATTGTGTTGTTCTCTTTAGTACACCTTTACATCACTGACGCAAGAATTCAAGGGAAAACACTGCGAACAATCAGGATATCTAGTCGATGCATCACACGCACTAGTACAGTGCACAGCAAAAGAGAATGAGATGTTTTTTAACGAGAGACCTTTTCACCTCTGCATCATATGCCTCTAACTGATCGGTGCAGGTGAGGAACACTTTAAAATATCATCCATGCACGTGCACACATTGTGGCAATCAGCAGTCTCTTTGTAGAAAGCCTGTGAATCTCCACAACCTCTTGATGTATCTGGGCTATTACATATCCTCAGCCCCAATTCAGTATCGCCAAATCTTCATACATGTCCTCTGATTTTTAGCAGAAAACAGAACAAGTTGATTCGTTTGCATCAATTTCTATTTTTATTAGGGTGAAATTTTGTTCTGTTTGTAGTTATTATGGAAGATGGAATCAAGCTCTCAAATTACAAAGACGTACGCGTATGCGCTTGCCAGGAAGTCATTTCCAGGGATTATTTTACAGCCAAACGCATTTCTCCTTTTCAGGCGTATTAAGCAACCAACATTGAGTCGCAAGCTAATCAATTCATTTTCAGTAGAGCAAAGTCGTTTTGATAAAGTTGTCGGTTTTAAGATGCAATATCAGGCGCACAAGTTTCAAGCAAATGTATTATTCCTTTTTTTGGATGAACAAAATCAAATTTTATTATAAAATCATTCTAACATTCAAATACAGACAATGTAAGTATTTTAATAGTGTTCTATGACTCCTGGTTTCACTTAGTGAAGAGTAAGTCCCATTACATAGTTCACTTATACAGTAATAGAGGTCATTATTAAGCTGCTGATACTTATTTTTATGGCTAAGGACAAATAAAAGCTTTCAAAATGGTTCTGTTTCAATAAAATTTATGGTGTACAACCATTTTGTGGCATTTTCTGTCTGTTGCTGTGCCATAATTACAGAATAAACGCGTTATAATGAAAAAAAACTGAAGCGGGTAACCTGCGGTGGGAGACGTGTTTGCAGTCCTCCTGTAGAATAATTCAGTGAGTGAAAAGACTTTTTTGCAGATAATGTTCGTAGGAAGTCCCACCTTTTAGACGGTATGCTCGGTTTTTTGAAGTAGCGCCGGCATTGGAGATATTTTGGCCTAAACTTCGGGTATTTTGACAGTTTTCACTGTTGGGTGAGAGAGGCGGTCTTGGCTGACATGATTTGTGTGATAGCAACTAGTTGTAGAGAACGAAACGTTGACAATACATTGTCCTTGGGTAGGATAACATTCACTGAAAATATGAAAAGATTTAGTTGAATTCTTATAGCAGTAGAGCTTTATACTTTTGACCGGTTTTTCAGGTGATTTTTACGGAGCCCATCAGGTGATATCGATAAGAAATAAAAATAACTCGTTCCCACACATTAGTAAATCGTGGCCATGAGTTATTAATGCGTGGGAACGACATAATTATCACACGATGTTTCATTGCAAGAGATGGCAGGATTGGTGTATTTCATTCCAAGGTTAAAATAAAATGAAATGAAATCAAAATGCTCCATGTTTCATGCAGGTACGCCCGTTATCCTTAATCGACAGCTGGTATGACCGCACTGTGAAATTTGCTCCACAACTTCTCTTGTTTCTTCATATTAGTAATGCAAGGCCACAATTTAACTATGTCGTTCCCACACATTAATAACTCGTGGCCATGATTTACTAATGCGTGGGAATTAGTTATTTTTATGTCTTATCGATGTCACCAGACGGGCTCCATAGATATTTGGTCATTTTTGTAAAAAAAAGAAAAGAAAAGAAAAACAAGGGGGTGACCAACTCCCCCCGCTTTTGACCAAATTTCCTTAAACTTAGACTGAAGTGGTTTTGGTTGGACCCTTTAAAACTGGCCAAGTTTCATCGAAGTCGGTGAGATGGCTTGTGCCGCCCCCGCCTGGTCCTATCATGGATGCACTCTCAACCACATTTCATGATCTTCCTCAGCACAGTTCTACAGTAAATGCTGCATTGTCACATATCATATCCATCACATTTAAACAAAGCCGATGCAGACCAGCCTACAGTCTGTGTTTATTAAACTTCTGAACTGATGTGAAAGAACAATCAAGCCCAGTCTCCCAGTTGTGTCCTATTGTAAAACTGACTAGTGGAGCAGTGACTGAGCTACATTCATTTTTCTGTTGTTTTGTTTTGTAGGATCAGACCGGTCGTCTCCGATCCCGCCCTCGGTTCCTCCCATGCCGGTGCCGTTAACAGGATCTCCTACCCAGGCTCCCACACCTTTGAGCCAGTCCCCCCTCATCCTGCAGCCCCTCGCCTCTCCCCTGCAGGTGGGAGTCCCGCCTATGTCCCTGCCAATCATCCTGAACCCTGCCCTCATTGAAGCCACATCTCCTGTACCGCTGCTGCCTGGTCCCAGACCTACGAGTCCCTCTGACGAGGTCAAGTAAGGGGAACTCCGTCTGCCCTGCAGCTGCATTACTCCCTCTTTAACAACTGGACCCAGCTATTACTTTAACAGCTGCTTGTCACCAGGTCTCTGAACTGATGTACGAGAAGACAACGTGGATGACTTATACAACATTTAATTTAAAGGAAGAATCCCCGTAAACAGGTGACATTGTTGAAAAAATAGTTGCTGGAGCACCTTGCTTTCTTTGTGCAATTTTTGTGTTTATCTTCTAATAATGCATTAGATAAATGACTAAAGGGAGACAATGTACTAGATATTTGGAACTTAAAATATTGCATGAAAGTCATTCTAGGAAAAATAATAAGTCAAAGTATGATTGAGGCTCCCTTAATTCAAAAGTCCCGGCAGGTCTATAGCACTGAGAGCGCCACCGTTCTGTCCTCACTCATTTTGGGGGAGACTTTGGGTTTGGGTTTTGGCAACCTGGGGAGAGTTTATGTTATATCACTTGTGGTGGAAAATTTACTTGCAGAATCCATTACTTTTAAACTCATTGCATTATGTATATTTTAAACTGATACAATAAAAAAAACAAAAACAAAAAATTCCCCACTTAATTTTTATTCTTTGAAAGGTAAGGAAGGCTTTAAATTGTAAGTCTGGTGACGTTCTGTATTTTAGTTACTGTCTTAAAGTCTCTTCTAAAGACCAAAACCAATAACATGTTTGTCCATCTCAGAAAAAGAGGTTCAGTATCTTCCTAAAACATCTGTAGTTTTTACTACACGAATATGAGGACGGCAGTAGAACCCTATGGAATGGAGGAAGAAGACATTAGGTTTTTATACACTAACCATACTTAGTTGGATTTATTTTGTTTTGGTTTTGCTCGGCCAACAAGATCCGTTGGTGACAAGAAAAGCTACCAGCTATGAGGAAAAGTACATTTATCCACACCTCTGATTCTGACTCCTGAGTGAACAGTTTTCTGATATGAGGATGTAGTTATTCCTAATGCCATCAACATCAGGTTCATGTATTCAGGATTAGCCTGATGCTGGACTAGACTAAAGGAGTAGTACAAGAGCCTGGATTGTTAAGACTTTAGGGCTTAGTGTAGACTCAGCGCCATAAATGAAATCATTGTTGAGTTCTTAAAAGAAAGAGAAACACCTGAAGGTGACCACAGTCCCGCCCTTCACATAGATTTTAACTTCAAGCTGACCTCATAGCTTTGCTCGTGCTTTATATTAATCTGGAGATTAAGCAGGGACAGTAAAGAACCACATGTTGGAATTTTAGGTACTGCGTATTGGTGATTAAACAGCATTTCTATGGCAAGCCATTTTAACATTTAATAGCTGATATTGACAACATTGTGTTGACTCGTCGTAGATACACTGTGACGAGTTTTTATTCCAGATATCAGTAACGTCATTCTGGCCAGTCAAACCCACAGTTGGATATCTCTGTAATTCAGTTGGGACTAATCAGAATGATAGCTGCACAAATGTCAATTATGACTATGCTAATTGTTCATCTGAGGCTTCCCATTACATGTCGGTCCAGCAAAGCATCTCAACAGTGCCAGCAGAAGTGATGGCAGACGCTGTGGCGTGAAAGATCATTAGACACCGCTGTGAAGAGCTCATCAGAAGAGAGTTTGTGGATGACGAGAGCTTTGTTCATTAGAGGCTCGTGGTCCAAATTTAGTAGAACTTGTGCCTCAGGCTGCTCTGACATGCCGATGAAACGGCTGTCATATGAGGTTGCAGTTGAAGTACCAAAGTATGTCTGAAGATCAAAACCGTTGCACTCGTCGTCGCTTCTGTCCTGATTACAGATATCTGCAATGTCAAAAGTCTAATTCATATCTGTAATTACATTTTGACCAGCTACTTACTACGTCATTCTGATCTACTCAGACTTCATTCATGGTTTTAAAAAGGACAGTGTGCAGTTGTTGTTGAATTAAGGGAAAATAAAGATATCTTGAACAAGAATTATGTCTATTCAGAATTAAACTGTAGATATCTAAAAGTGGAATTACAGCTCGTCATAACTTAGATGCCGATATCTGTAGTGAGAAACACATGAATGTAAAAACGGCTTGCCATAGTTTTCTGTAGCTTTGACTTGAGCTGGATGTTCCAGAGGGCCAAGCAAACTGAGGGATTCATGTCTGAATCAGACCTGTATGTAAAAAAAAAAAAGACTATTTATAGAGCTGGTGGTTGTTATGTTTAAGAGAATCTATTGTTGTGTGACAGCCAGACACCGAGACACTGACCTCTACTGATTATTTTCTGTCGTTTTAGTTCTTCATGGGCTTTTTGTCCCCGATGGCTAAAAAAGAAGCAGCTTTGACTTCAGGCGCCTTATGAAATCTAGTGAAGTGTAATTGTGTGCACGTGAAGCCTTTCTCAGATGGACTGGAGACATCACATTTCAAATTGTAGATACTAGCGTCTGCCAAGAGCTCACTCCACTGTACGCCGGACACTTAGAGCGCCTCACAGTGACTCTCTTACTTTATGATAACAAGTCATTTAAAGAGCTGACTATTGATGTTATTTGATCATGTCTGTGTAGCTCGCTGTGGACAGCAGTCCACATGATTAATCCCCAGAGCCTGAGGAGCAAGTCTTTACAGCTCTGTCATATCACAAGGAAATCTATGGAACAACATTAGAGCACTAACGTAACACCTTAGAGTTTACTGTCACTGCTTCTCAATGCTTAATGTTGAAATGTTGAATTACCACTGAATTTGGAAACCATCTATTTCGGTTTATGTGGTTCGATTTATTCTGATTATGTGGCAGAACACACACATCTCAGAGAAGACGATTAGCACCAGGATTTACACATTAGTGTAAAAAATGAATGTGTCTAATATTTAAAAAACTGACCTGCACAGAGACTGACTTCATGAAGGTTTATTTGTTTTTCAGAATTGGTCCTTAGTACTGGTATGAAGGCTGTCCATTAAACTCTGTGATAGTAATCATGGGATGACTATGATAACGAAGGGAGAATCCCAGTGTTGTCATGGTGTTATCAGAAGTATAAATGAGTTAAAGAACAGTGAAGCAGGTGAAGAAAGGCAGCCACCACGTTAACGTTTCCCTTATAGTGTCATAATTCTGACATATGTTCTTCAACCAGGATTTGACCATAGAAAATATATCAAAGATGGACGTAACCATGACTTCAGACATTGCTTTGTGGACTGCCATTTTGAAGTCTTGAGTTTGAAATGTGGCTGTCACCATCTCTGAAACCAACTGCTGTAAAACATCTCCATGCTTTATCATTTGTTTTCCTCTAAATGGGATTCTAGTTTACTAAATCAACACCTTGCTGCATTAAAAAAAGTATTGCAACTAGCAACTGAGTCCATAAAGTCAGGTAAATGTTAACTAAGTTAGCAGATCAGGTGAGTGGGAGGCTTCTGTACGGCACTTCTGCATCATGGCAATCTTTGATATAAAGTTCAATACAGCGTAAAACTTCAAGTCACCTTCAGCGTACCAGAGAGGAGTTCAAACTACATAACACTGATGGGTGGTTTTCAAAGGAAAATATATCAATGCTATATTCAGTGGTATCTTCACGTCCACAGTAAGGGTTCAGCTGTGGTGACGATCGGCTCTTAACAAGCTGCTCCAGTTTGCTTCCATAGACTTGTGCTGATGTTGTTGCATGCTGATTGTGCCTTGTGTACAATAACATGTATTCTGGTAAACTGACTAATACACCATTCAATGGCGACCTGTCTTTAAGGCGTGTAGATGTAAACTGAAAGCTTCAGCTTCATTCAAAGTGGCCCTGGGAATCTCTCAGTGATGTTTCATGTTATTTATTGAATTGAGGAAGAGGAGATGGATGTTTCTGCTGCAGTCAGTCAGATAACAGTACAGCCTTATAGAGCCACCAACATGTAAGCTGTGTGTTTATTTGTTGTACAGGACTTTTTACAGGAAATTACATGAATATTGTGTGTGTGTATATACACACACATATATATATGCACACATATATATGTGTGTATGTGTGTGCATATATATATATATATATGTATATATTAGTGCACCTCAAAAAGTTAGAACATCATTGAAAAGTTTATTTTTTCATGATTTAATTTAAAAGATAAACTTTCACATATTCTATATTCATTATGCATAAAATGGAATAACTTTGAAGCCTTTCTTTTTTGATGATTATGACTTATAGCCCATGAAAATCTGAAATCCAGTATTTCAAATGATTAAAATATTTCCTAGATCGATCACAAAAAGAATTTACAATCCAGAAATGTCCAACTTCTGAAAGGTATGTTCATTTATACATTTAATAATTGTTAGGGCACCTTAACCATGAATTGCTGCATCAATGCAGTGTGGCATGGAGGCGATGAGCCCGTGGCTCTGCTGATGTGTTATTGAAGCCCAGGTTGCTTTGATAGCAGCCTTCAGCTCGTCTGTATTTTGGGATCAGATGTTGCTCATCTTCCTCTTGACAGTAAACCAGATGGGGTTCAATGGGGTGAGCCGGGTGGGTCAGACAAGTTGACCGGCCAATCAAGCACAGTAATGTCATGGCCAGCAGACCATTTGGTCGTAGTTTTACCAGTGTGGGGGTGGTGCTTAGTCCTGCTGGAAAATAAAAATTGGCATGTCCATAAAGCTTGTCAGCAGATGGAAGCATGAAATATCCTATTAGACACTGTGTTGACTTTGGACTTGATAAAACTAAGTGGACCAACACCAGCAGATGACATGGTATCATTACACTAGTTAAACTTCACACTGGGCTTTAAACACCTTGGGTTCTGAGTCTCTTCACTCTTCCTTCAGACTCTAGATCCTTGATTTTTAAATGAAATGGAAAAATTACTTTCATCTGAAAAGAGGACTTTGGACCACTGGGCAACAGTCCAGTTCTTTGTCTCCTTAGTTCAGGTAAGATCTTCTGATGTCTCTGGTTCAGGAGTGGTTTGATATTTGCAATGCAGCAGTGGTAGCTCTTTTCCTGAAGACGTCTGTGCTTGATGGCTCTTGATGCACTGACACCAGCCTCAGTCCTTATGCAGCTCTTCAAAGTCTTTCCTACTACACTTTCCCTTCCAGTCGACTTTCCACTAATATTCTTTGATGCATCACTCTGCTAACCGAAGCCTTTTCAGCAACGACCGTCTGTGGTCTATCGTCCTTGTAGAGGGAGTCAATGATTGTCTTTCGGACAACTTTTACGTCAGCAGCCTCCCCATGATTGTGGTTCTGTGTGCTGAACCAGACCAAGATATACACGGTATTTATTCAGTGTATCTCTTGGTCTGCACTGCATTTACCCTATTTGAATAGTTATTTACTCAAACTTAAAATGAAATATTTAGATAATTTTAAATACAGGATTTCTGATTTTCATGAGATATAAGCCACATGTAACAAGTCTAGAATATGTTAAATTATTACGTTTTAGAATAACTGCTGGAAAAATATTAAGCATTTTCATGATGTTCTACTGTTTTGAGATGCACTAGTATACATATAAATGAAAGGTGATGTACTTTTTACTATGTAATAAATGTATAGAATGTGCTCATGCTGGTGTGTTGAGTTTTTTTTCCTACAGTTTGTTGTCTGAACTGCAGTTTTTCAAGAAGCTGCTGAGACACTTGAAACTGTGACACTACCAGAGCATAAATATGTTTTTCGTCACTGTGTATACAGTCACAGATAGAGACGGAAGTATCATTGTGTCATAGACTTGAAACACAATTTTCATCATTCAAAGGGAGTATGAGCAACCAATTACAACAAATATGTTTGAGAAAGGGGCTGCAAGGTGGCTCGGTGGTTAGCACCTCGCAGCAAGAAGGTCGCCGGTTCGCGCCCCAGTGAGGACACCGGGATCTTTCTGTGTGGAGTTTGCATGTTCACCCTGTGCAGCGTGGGTTCTCTCTGGGTTCTCTGACTTCCTCCCACAGTCCAAAAACATGTTGAGGTTAATTGGTGATTCTAAATTGTCCGTAGGTGTGAATGTGAGTGTGCTTGGTTGTCTGTCTCTAAGTGTAGCCCTGTGATAGACTGGTGACCTGTCCAGGGTGTCCTCTGCCTTCGCCCTGAGTCAGCTGGGATAGACTCCAGCCCCCCACGACCCTAGGATTAAGTGGTGTATAGATAATGGATGGATGTTTGTTAAATGTACATACATAGATCTCATTCTGGATATTTCTGATATTTTGTCAACTCAATCACAAACACAACACAAGTTGAAATGTGTGGCTTGGCCAGTCGATTGAACCAAGACACAAACCATCTGCTGGTTGGTACTCTTACATGTTTTTCCAGTTGACTGAGCTGATCTAGATCCAGACCCTTTGCTATGAAATCAGTTTTATAGCAGTTGTTCATCATTTAATGCATACCTGAATTTTCAAACAAATTGTAGTTTGATAGTGAAAACTTTACTTCTTCAGTGTCAAACTGGAAAGTTCTGCCACCATCGATCATTCTGATTTAACGGTGTATTGAGTAGTAATTAACTTACCCCGTCAGAACATAATGTACATGTATATTTCCAAACACTGATGCATTGGAGCTTGCTGCCAGGCAGGCATCTGATCGATCCAAAATTCATTCTGCAGGAGGACAATGAGTCCAGCATCCAGTCAGTCATTAAGAACGACGGTATTTTTAGCAGCAAGAACAAGCAGTCCTGCAACAGATGGTGTGACCCCCACACAGCCCTGATGTCAACACCATGGAGTCAGTCTGGGGTTAAATAAGGAGACTGAGAGAGACAGGAGGCCTGTAGGAAGTCCTCTGAGATGCTGAACAACTACCGACCAAGCAGCTTGAAAAACTACAAGTGCACCAACAAGAACTGGAGCTGCGGTAAAGACAAAAGCTGCTTCAATCAAATACTAAATAGTTTTCCACTGTTCAGCTTTTGGAGGTAGTTCTGATTATTTTATGTTTTGGAAGTATCCTCACTGTACTTTTAATACAGTCGTCTATCTTACATGTTCCTATCAACAAACCCAATGTGCACAAAAACAAACCAACAGTGAACTCTTCTCCTAACATGTACTGGGCATTGAAGTCTGACATCTGTGACAATGAGCTCCACTGCTGTTCAAAACTCGTTACCAAAATGAAACTATATCATTGCACAAAAATATAAAATCAGCTTGTAATATTTTATTAAATTCTAAATAAGTATTCGTGGTTCCAGCAAACAAAATCTCGACAACATCAAGAAGCAACTCAATACAACTACACTATAAATGATGGACAGATGGAGAGAGTCACACATCTGTGACACAAAGAGTTAATGGGCTTGTCCATGCTGCTTGTGGGATGTTGTTCCACTGGTAAAGTTGGTGGACGTTTTGGAGGACAACGTCCATCCAGAGCTGTCCCAAACCATTTCTGCATGAAGTTGCCAACAGCCCACTGTCGTCCTTCTCTTGTCACCGTGCCATTTGAATAAAGCTACATTTTGGGGTCTTGTGTTTTTAAATAGGGTATTATTTTGATGTCCTCTCATACTCAGGTGTATAAAGTGGTGCAGTCTTGACAACAGACATAAAGTGAGAGATTTAAAAAACACTAAAGATCTGGAGCTGATCATGGGATTTGTTGAGGATGAGAAAAATAAATACCAGGACTGATCCTTTAAGCTGGTCTCCTTGCTTGACTGGTCCAGCAGCATTTTGTAGTAGAATTACAAATGATGTCTGCTATCAAATGCTTCTTGCTTGAAAGAGTAACACAAACACTAATACTGTGGACAGTGTCACTTAGAACTTTTTAAAACAGCAACAGTGAAGAACAACAGAGACAAGTGTTGAAAGCCTGAGCAGACCACTGGTGTAAAACATCTGAGTTTTATTTCAAAGCAAAATGAAAACCACAGTTTTTTTTTTTTAGTAAACTAACTGTATCAGAAACTACATAGGCCAGAAAATAACTGTTATACAATATTTGTACATGGAATGTAAAAACATCATGAAACAAGGAGGCAGAATATCAAACTGTACGGACTTAAATGATCTAATCTATAAAGAATTCAATATCTCGAAGGGACAGTGGAACATAAATGTGAACAGCACTCCACTCACAAATATTGTTTTTCCTCTTTAATCAACAGATTCCACATCAAAAGCCCTACTGTTGCCTCACCTACCTACACCATCAGCAACAAACAACAGTTAGAAAAACCAACCCCTAAAACCAGGATTCCTCACTTGGTGTCCAGCTTGGCCATTTCCTGAAGGTATATTCCAATGCTCTCGCTGTCAAACAGCACAAAATAAATGTTTTTCAGAGAGGAGCTGGTGGACGACACAAAATGGTTGGAGATGGCCTTGAGGATGAGCTGAGCGGCTGTTTGCTTTGGGAAGCCGTTCCTGTGAGAAAGAGTCAGGTTGGTAACTGAACGTGTGGTGAGCAGTGGATAAAGAGCAGAGAACACGAATGCACATGAGCTGCAGTTACAAACAACACAGCAGACGAATAATGTGAATGTCATTAGAAATAAAAATGTCTGCCTCTGCTATCGATGTGAGAGACAAATGATTTCACAGCTACACTGGACTGCTGGACAAAGACTCTGAACACTCTGAGTGGTTCTGATTCTGACTAAGTTGTGACCACAGCAGCCAACATCTTCCAGGAGAGCGAGCCTTTCTGAGATCTCCTTCTGATTTCAAAGAAAATGCTGCATGACACTAAATCCACAATCCAGGTGTTGCACAGTCATGTTTCTGTGGCTAATGAACAGGATTCTTC